AAAGTACCGCATCGAGAACGCGGACTTTGGGGGCAACCAGGCATCTTTGACAGACCTGTCCCCTACAAAGATTCTGCGTACGTGTGTTTGGTTGTGGCTGCGCCTTTGGTGGTTTGTTTAGTTTAAAGGGACCAAAGGACACCGCCCTTTGTTGGGGGTTCCCCCAATTTTGAGACAAACCCATATGGACCATAGTTATGCTTTTAGGGTGATTGTGGCACAGAGTCAGCAAATGTTACTTTTGTGCCCCAGATGTGGGCCAAGACAGAAGGCAGAAGGGACTCAAGTCATTGCTCCGAATGAAACATAGCGAGCTCCCGTTCGGGGTACATCGAGCTCATGCATCATGAAGGTCTTTGTCCCGCGGATTTCTTATTTGCGGCTTATGATTTATAGTAGGTCAGACTGAGGTAGTTTCCTAATGGCCGGTGGTGTTTGTTTATCCCAGGCGAGCTACTCCAAATGGCTGGAATTTCTAGCCGCGTTCCTTGTGTGCACCTAGAATGGTTCGCTGGTTGTACTGCAACCCAAGCTGTTTGGCGAGACTCTGAGGTTGTATTCTGCGGCGCTTCTCGTTTAGACAAGTGTGGGAGCCACACACCATTCAAAGCCTAGTTAGGCACATAGTAGTCCCATTGAACTTCAGCCATCCCCTTAGCTTTTTAGCCTTTTGGTGTTTAGTGGGGGTTTCCATTTCGCCCACTAAAAGTTAAACTTTTGGCAGGGGATCTGAGGGCAGCCCAGTGAACGGGCAGTTTTCACAAAGGATGCTACTGTGGATGGGCGAAATCCATTTCGCACCGCTTGGAAACCATGGTTGAATACATTGTTTGTTGGCGTTTACCAGGGAATCATCAAACACGAGGGTTTCTTAGGTGGTGCCTAAGAGGACTTCGTCCATCCTCGGTAGTTAACAACTTCTCGGATTCAACTTGTCCTTCCATTTGCTTAAGAATATGTAAAAAAAATATAAAATGTTTTTTTCCCTGTTGGTTTTAAAGGGAATCTATCACTACTGTTTTTTTGTTTTTTTAATGTCATTTGTTCTTTCCAGGGGTCTTAACCAAATGGAAGTGTCGGATTCAACTCTCGGAAAACAAGCGGTTCGGCCAGGCCGGCGGCTCATGTTGAAAGCTTCTGGACCAGGATGACTGATTTCTGGGTGGCGCAACCAGCCATCCCTTTGGTGTTTTTTAGTTTTTGTCAGTTTGCTTTAGCTTTTTGTTCAGCCTTTTTCAGCCTTTTTGAGCCTTTTAAAATTTTAGCGTTGAGTGGTTGGTGTTCCACTTCACCCACTAAAAGTTGAACACTGTTTAGCGGGCGATCTGAGACCAGACCAAATTCATGTCAATGAATTATAGCCTTTTGGAATGACAGGAGGGAACAATCAAGCTCCAGGTTTGAGACATTATGATTTTGTTCCCACCGACTTACTGGAACTACAATGTGTCTTTCAAAAGCCCCAAGCAAATCGGTTCATGTTTCGTAAACGCTGCGAATGTGAGAAACAGCAGGAAACGTCCCAGATGTTTGAGAAAGCAGGGGCTGGTTTCAGGAAAACGACTACAAGAGAAATCTCCGTTTGGCTTTGGGTCAAAAGCTCGTACCCCCAGTGAACATCCCAATCCCCACTAAAATAGACCAACATGAGTAGAGCACCTACCCCAAAATGGGATCCCATTTGTTTCGACCCACAGCCATCTTTGAACTCAGGTGTTTTCAGAAGAAATCAGCACGTCTTTGCCTCAGTTGCCCAGGTTCAGCTCTGCCTGGGGACGGCTTATGGAGGCGACTCTGAGTGCGGTTTGAAAGGGAAGCCAAGGGGTAGCCATCTTTGCTTGAGGTGAGCCACAATCAACACCCGGGTAGATGAAGGTAAGTAAGGCATGCAGCAAGTTCTTTACATGGTTTCGGGCAAGGTGTCCCAAGTTTGGAGACCAACCCAGAATCCCTGGAAGTGAATGGGAGATGTACGGGGACATGGGAGCCTGGTTCGGATGTCATTTTTCAGACTTGCAGGCGTATGCTTTGGAGCAAGTTGCTTTGAAGGCCTTTGACCAGTGGAATAGAAATCGGATTTCCGCAGATTGGCTTCCCTTCGTTGTTCTCCAGAAGTCCCTGCGCTTAGTTCGATATGGGTCGCCATTCAGCACGGCGAAGGCTCTTCAGCCCTTGGGTTTGCAGGCCTTGTGCCCAGGGTCGGAGGACGCCCGCTTTGGGAATGGCTCAAAGCCGGTTTGGACCCCTTCGAATGATTTGGTTCCATGTGCTTGTGTTTTGATTCGCCATGGGCCATCAGCCCAGTGCTGGCCAAAGTTTGCCATACACTCCGACCAACTAGGATGGCACCTACAAGAGTGTCCCTTTTAGAGGGGAAATGTACATCTCCGGACCTAGTCAGGTCCCATGTTATAGTGTACATTCCCGATGTTCCAGCGGAACGCACGCTCGAAAAGGGATCCCAGCCTTGTTCGCCCAAAATGTTGGAGTCAGTCAGGGTTTCTCAGAATTTGGGCTTGTTTTTGGTTGGCGGTGAAAGGGAAACCAAAAGGACGCCAACCACCTAAAGTACCCAAGTTTGAGAAACACCACATATATTATAGGTATACATATATATATATATATATTATACAATACACCTGGGGTTCAAACCACCATTGAAACAACGGTTAGGATTAAGATAACCACCATTATTTATCCAGTGTTCCTTGAGCCTTGAGCAGGATATGCTTGTTCTAAAACTCCTTCTCCCGAAAGCATGCCATTTGTGCGGCACGTTCTGACATGCGATGCAGCCTTTTTCAGGCAGTGGTGGGGGTGATCTACTGTGGAAGCCCTAAATATTGCAAGTACCACCACATGGGATGTTAACACCACTTCCATGGCATCGCCCGCTGCGTGCGGACCCCGCACCCCCAGGTACAATGTTGAAGCCAAGTGCGTAGCCCCTCTTCCGAGGCCCAATATATTGCAAGTTCAACATTGAGTCAGGGGAGGGGGGGCCGCAGATGTCATGTTGCTGTGCTTCCTGTTGTGACAGGTGCCATTATTTCTTTGCTCCGCACTTGCAATATTTAGGGCTTCAACCGTCTCACGTAGAGCGTCTGTTGTCTTTTGCTTGTGCAATATTTCGGGCTTCCACCGTCTGTGTCCGCGTCTGTCTCACGTAGACCGTCCGTTGTCTTTGGCGTCCGCGTCCGTCTCACGTGCACTGCCCGTTGTCTTCAGTCGGCTTTGTCTGTCCTCTGCTGCATGGTGGGTGGTGGTGCTCGGTCGGTGGCACAGCCTGGCAGACACGTGTGTGCGCGCGCAGCTCTTGACTTCTGCAGTTGCAAGGTGGCTCAGACACAGGCTATCCGACTTACCACGCATGCCCTTCCGCCATTTCACTGACCGGGAACTCGAGCTGGTTCGCGCTTGGAAGCTTGAAGGGCGGCGCCCTGCCGAGATTGCGGAGCTGCTGGGACGGCACATTTCCACGATCGTCCGGCACTTCCAGCGGCTGTCCCGGGGCCGGGCTGCCAATAGCGGAGCAGCATGCAGGACGACCAGCAGCCAGCAACAAGAAGCCCAGGAAGCGCCGAAGAGGTCGCGGGCAAGTTTGTGACAACAACCCCCAGCGGCTTGTGCAAGAAGCCAAAGCTCAGTGTGGGCAGGATCACGGCTGCCAGATGGAGCGACAGGCGGTGGCGTCTGAAGATATTGCTCTGTCACGACCACTCTGTGATGCCGCAAGTTCTTCTGCATGAGCGCGGGATCACCTTTCGACCAATGCGCCAGAAGCCGCTGCGCACTACGGCTGATGAGCACACCCGACTGGAGTGGGGGAAGAAATACGCCCCAAAAAGGGCATCCTTCTGGTCTGAGAGGGTGCACGCCTTGGACAACAAGTTCTTCCCCGTCTACCCGAACCACAAGGCAAGGTGCTACGCTGCCAAGCGCGCCACTGGTACCTACCGAGCAAGGGGCGAGGGCTTGGGCGAGGGGCATGTTCGACCACGCAAGACCTTGAAAGTGTCTTGGGGGAAGAGTGTCAACGTGGCGGTGGCCCTGAGTGCCCAGAAGGTTCTGATGTGCCACGTGGTGGAAGGCATGCAGCGGAGGCCTGCCGCATGTATGCACGGAGCCTGGGCCCTGCCCTGCGACGCGCAAGCCCCGAGCTCGACCGGTTTGTGGTGCTGGAGGACAACGATCCCAGCGGCTACAAGAGCCGGGCGGCCAGGGACACAAAGGTGGAGCAGCGGATCAACGTGCTGGAGATCCCAAAGCGCTCGCCTGACGTCAACCCACTCGACTACGGCTTCTGGGCCCACGTCAATGAGCGGCTGCGCGTGCAGGAGAGCCGCTTCGGCGTCAATTTTCGTGAATCCAGAGATCACTTTGTGCGCCGCCTCAGGCGCACGATCCTGCGCACCCACCCGGCCTTCCTGCGCTCATTGGTGACATCCATGAAGCGGCGAGCAGTGGCCTTGGTGGCCGCCAAAGGGCGGGACGTTGAGGAGTGATACAGCGAAGCCTGCGTCCAAAAATCTCGAGCTCCGACACGTGCATGCAGCTTGTAAGGCTTTGGAAAGACTTGCCTGTGCAAATTGCAAGGGTTAAGGCTTTAGAAAGACTCGCCTGTGCAAATTGCAAGGGTGTGGAGAGACGCAAAGCGCCTGAAATGGAGAAACTCGTGCAACTAGTCAGCACTTGTCCTGAAACCTCGTTGGTGATTGCGTGAAACACGTGAAACTCGTGAAATCAAGAAGAAAAAAAGGCTTACTTATATTTCTTCTAAGTTTCACACAAGTTGCACGAGATTCACGCAAATACCAACCGATTTCAGGACGAGTTCTGGCCATGCTTCACGAGTTTCACATGTTTCGGGTCTTGGTGCGGAGGTTGTGCGGTACGGTGTGTCGTCTGTTTGCTGCTGTCTTGTCTCACATGCCCGTTCCGCTGTAGCCGTCACCGTAGCCAAGCCGGTCTAGATCTTCGTCCCCAAAACTACTCCTGCCATGGGGTCTGCGGAGGAGGAGGAGTTTTTGGAGGTGCCGCAGTCGCGCCATGCCCGCAAGGCGTGGTTCCAGCTTTTAACCCTGCGCAGCCTGCGGGCGTGGCGCTGCCAGTGGCAGCCGCTGCTGCCGAACTTGGCGAGGCAGCTCGGGGCCGACGCCTCACAGGGAAACAGCCGAACCCCGCAGTCAACCAGAACGCTGCTTCGAGTGCAATCCTTGCTGAGAGACTGGCGGACTGCACGGCCTTGTCGGTGGATGTGCAGAGGAAGCACATGCACTACACGCACGTCCGCACCACGTCGGCGGGCGACCGGCAGCCTTCCACCTTCACCCGGGCTGGGTTCTGGGAGCACATCCTCCAAGTCTACCGAGAAGCATACCCAGACGCTGCCAACCCCACGGGCTCCATCGTGCAGTTTGGGGCAGTGGCGAAGGAGCGGCATGCGGCCTCGCAGGATGGTTTGCGGGACGAGCACCATCATTGCCCAGTGTACTGCAGCAAGCGGCACTACTGGAAGCGTGTGGCTGACATCTCCTACCAGAAGTACAAGGTGAAGCTCCACGCGGCCACGCACGGGTACTACACCATGTATTCTTACATCACCGCCCCGACTACGAAGAAGCCCTTGGCTGCATTGGACGCGGAGGCGCGGAATCTAGACAAACAACCGAACCTGTTTTGTCAAACCTCCCTGTCAGGTGTTCTTGTCGGTGGACCACCCGCGTGGAGACGCCCTGCGGCAGTTGCTGGAAGCAGGCGCCATTGCTGCCCGTGCCTTGAATGGACGTCAACACAAGCAACAAGCTGAAGAAGCTCCGCAACGTGCGCCGCAGAAGCGCTTCCGCTCCGGGGACATCTTCACCCTCATGGAGGAGCGCAACTTGCAGAATGTCCTGGACTTGCAAGGGCTGGCCAACTCCTTGGCCCAGCAAGGCAAGAAAAAAACCCACCTTTGCGCAGTTCTATACACAAGCCCTGGGGTGAGGACCGCTTGGGTATACAGCTGCCTCAGATGGCAGGCACACATGTGCAACATGAAGCACCCACACAGCGAGAGACCATAGCGCCAGCATTCGGGGCTCGGACACCTTTGCGGGACCATGGGGTGTCCTATCGGCCTTTGGCACCTGCACGGCGTGGTGGGCTCCAGCGGCTCCGCACCTTGACCAACAAACCAAAGAGAATGTGCGCAGGTTCGCCAAGACGTCCAGCCGGCGCCCTGCAGTTGGGAGCTCGGCGCGGGCTCAACCTCGCAATTTGTCCGGCGTCCCAGGCAGCGCAAAAGCTGCTCCTTGAGCCCGTTGGACGGCCATCTTTCAGTCATGGGGAACCCTGACCCGGAGCTCCTTCCCTTTGGCCGGTGCATTGGATGCGCAAGGTGTTGCTGTTGGCAAGACAACAAGCACCAGGATCAGACTGTGCTTTTTGAGGACTTGCTCTCCCTCACCGTGGGGGAAATGATCTCAGTCCGAGTGCCACACCAAAAGACCCAGATCTTCCGCAACGTCGCGCCCCTCTTCTACACCTCCAACTTCCCGCTGCAGGTGCGCCGGCCTGACTTGGAGGAGGCCACGCGCTTGAACCAAGCCATGGCCGAGCGCTTCTGCACGCGTCAGTGGAAGATGCCGTTGCCAGAAGCCGAGCGGATCCCGGACCTGCCTCGATGCTCACGGTGCTGCGCCGCGTTCTACCTTGCCAACAGCGCAGGGGGTTAGTTTTGACCAGACCGCTTCGTGTAGAAAACAAGCTTCCAGCCTGCTTTGCACTTGTGACCGCTCCACCCCAGACTTCTCACGTAGAGCGTCTGTTGTCTTTTGCTTGTGCAATATTTCGGGCTTCCACCGTCTGTGTCCGCGTCTGTCTCACGTAGACCGTCCGTTGTCTTTGGCGTCCGCGTCCGTCTCACGTGCACTGCCCGTTGTCTTCAGTCGGCTTTGTCTGCGCGCTCGCTCGCTTGTCCTCTGCTGCATGGTGGGTGGTGGTGCTCGGTCGGTGGCACAGCCTGGCAGACACGTGTGTGTGCGCGCGCAGCTCTTGACTTCTGCAGTTGCAAGGTGGCTCAGACACAGGCTATCCGACTTACCACGCATGCCCTTCCGCCACCGGGAACTCGAGCTGGTTCGCGCTTGGAAGCTTGAAGGGCGGCGCCCTGCCGAGATTGCGGAGCTGCTGGGACGGCACATTTCCACGATCGTCCGGCACTTCCAGCGGCTGTCCCGGGGCCGGGCTGCCAAGCGGCAGCCCACAGGACGACCGCCCAGCCTGACTCAGCGCCAAGTCGACCAAGTTGTGAGCACAACCCAGCGGCTTGTGAAAGAAGCCAAAGCTCAGTGGCAGGTCACGGCTGCCATGGTGCGACAGGCGCTGCGTCTGAAATGCTCTGTCAAGACCATCCGCAAAGTTCTGCATGAGCGCGGGATCACCTTTCGACCAATGCGCCAGAAGCCGCTGCGCACTGCGGCTGATGAGCACACCCGACTGGAGTGGGGGAAGCAATACGCCCCAAAAAGGGCATCCTTCTGGTCTGAGAGGGTGCACGCCTACCTGGACAACAAGTTCTTCCCCGTCTACCCGAACCACAAGGCAAGGTGCTACGCTGCCAAGCGCGCCACTGGTACCTACCGAGCAAGGGGCGAGGGCTTGGGCGAGGGGCATGTTCGACCACGCTTGAAAGTGTCTTGGGGGAAGAGTGTCAACGTGGCGGTGGCCCTGAGTGCCCAGAAGGTTCTGATGTGCCACGTGGTGGAAGGCCACTGGAATGCAGCGGAGGCCTGCCGCATGTACAAGCCCCGAGCTCGACCGGTTTGTGGTGCTGGAGGACAACGATCCCAGCGGCTACAAGAGCCGGGCGGCCAGGGACACAAAGGTGGAGCAGCGGATCAACGTGCTGGAGATCCCAAAGCGCTCGCCTGACGTCAACCCACTCGACTACGGCTTCTGGGCCCACGTCAATGAGCGGCTGCGCGTGCAGGAGAGCCGCTTCGGCGTCAATTTTCGTGAATCCAGAGACCACTTTGTGCGCCGGCTCAGGCGCACGATCCTGCGCACCCACCCGGCCTTCCTGCGCTCATTGGTGACATCCATGAAGCGGCGAGCAGTGGCCTTGGTGGCCGCCAAAGGGCGGGACTTTGAGGAGTGATACAGCGAAGCCTGCGTCCAAAAATCTCGAGCTCCGACACGTGCATGCAGCTTGCAAGGCTTTGGAAAGACTTGCCTGTGCAAATTGCAAGGGTTAAGGCTTTAGAAAGACTCGCCTGTGCAAATTGCAAGGGTTTGGAGACGCAAAGCGCCAGAAATGTGAAACTCGTGCAACTTGTTCAGCACTTGTCCTGAAACTCGTTGGTATTTGCGTGAAGCTCGTGAAACTCGTGAAATCTAGAAGAAAAAAAAGGCTTACTTATTTTTCTTCTAAGTTTCACAAGTTTCACGAGTTTCACGCAAATACCAACGAGTTTCAGGACGAGTTCTGGCCATGCTTCACGAGTTTCACATGTTTCGGGTCTTGGTGCGGAGGTTGTGCGGTACGGTGTGTCGTCTGTTTGCTGCTGTCTTGTCTCACATGCCCGTTCCGCTGTAGCCGTCACCGTAGCCAAGCCGGTCTAGATCTTCGTCCCCAAAACTACTCCTGCCATGGGGTCTGCGGAGGAGGAGGAGTTTTTGGAGGTGCTGCGGGAGTGGGACAACGCAGTCGCGCCATGCCCGCAAGGCGTGGTTCCAGGGGTTGGCCCTGCGCAGCCTGCGGGCGTGGCGCTGCCAGTGGCAGCCGCTGCTGCCGAACTTGGCGAGGCAGCTCGGGGCCGACGCCTCACAGGGAAACAGCCGAACCCCGCAGTCAACCAGAACGCTGCTTCGAGTGCAATCCTTGCTGAGAGACTGGCGGACTGCACGGCCTTGTCGGTGGATGTGCAGAGGAAGCACATGCACTACACGCACGTCCGCACCACGTCGGCGGGCGACCGGCAGCCTTCCACCTTCACCCGGGCTGGGTTCTGGGAGCACATCCTCCAAGTCTACCGAGAAGCATACCCAGACGCTGCCAACCCCCCGGGCTCCATCGTGCAGTTTGGGGCAGTGGCGAAGGAGCGGCATGCGGCCTCGCAGGATGGTTTGCGGGACGAGCACCATCATTGCCCAGTGTACTGCAGCAAGCGGCACTACTGGAAGCGTGTGGCTGACATCTCCTACCAGAAGTACAAGGTGAAGCTCCACGCGGCCACGCACGACGGGTACTACACCATGTATTCTTACATCACCGCCCCGACTACGAAGAAGCCCTTGGCTGCATTGGACGTGGAGGCGCGGAATCTAGACAAACAACCGAACCTGTTTTGTCAAACCTCCCTGTCAGGTGTTCTTGTCGGTGGACCACCCGCGTGGAGACGCCCTGCGGCAGTTGCTGGAAGCAGGCGCCATTGCTGCCCGTGCCTTGAATGGACGTCAACACAAGCAACAAGCTGAAGAAGCTCCGCAACGTGCGCCGCAGAAGCGCTTCCGCTCCGGGGACATCTTCACCCTCATGGAGGAGCACAACTTGCAGAATGTCCTGGACTTGCAAGGGCTGGCCAACTCCTTGGCCCAGCAAGGCAACCCTCGCTTGGCGCAGTTCTGCACAAGCATGGGTGAGGACCGCTTGGGTCAGCTGCTCAATGCAGCACGTGGTGTCATGGAAGCACCCACGCGGGTGGCCATGCGCCAGCACTCCCGTTTGGACACCTTGCGGGACGCAGCCATGACTAGTCCTTGCACCTGCAGCGGCGTGTGGGCTCCAGCTGCTCTTCGCACCTTGACCAACAACCAAGAGGATGTGCGCAGGTTCTGCCAAGACGTCTGCCGCGCCCTGCAGTTGGGAGCTCGGCGGGGCGTCAACCTCGCAATTGTCGGCGTCCCAGGCAGCGGCAAAAGCATGCTCCTTGAGCCCTTGGACGGCATCTTTCAGGTCATGGGGAAACCTGAAGCCCGGAGCTCCTTCCCTTTGGCCGGTGCTTTGGATGCGCAGGTGTTGCTGTGGCAAGACTACAAGCACCAGGATCAGACTGTGCTTTTTGAGGACTTGCTCTCCCTCACCGTGGGGGAAATGATCTCAGTCCGAGTGCCACACCAAAAGAACCAGACCTTCCGCAACGTTGCGCCCCTCTTCTACACCTCCAACTTCCCGCTGCAGGTGCGCCGGCCTGACTTGGAGGAGGCCACGCGCTTGAACCAAGCCATGGCCGAGCGCTTCTGCACGCGTCAGTGGAAGATGCCGTTGCCAGAAGCCGAGCGGATCCCGGACCTGCCTCGATGCTCACGGTGCTGCGCCGCGTTCTACCTTGCCAACAGCGCAGGGGGTTAGTTTTGACCAGACCGCTTCGTGTAGAAAACAAGCTTCCAGCCTGCTTTGCACTTGTGACCGCTCCACCCCAGACTGTGGAAGCCCTAAATATTGCAAGTACCACCACATGGGATGTTAACACCACTTCCATGGCATCGCCCGCTGCGTGCGGACCCCGCACCCCCAGGTACAATGTTGAAGCCAAGTGCGTAGCCCCTCTTCCGAGGCCCAATATATTGCAAGTTCAACATTGAGTCAGGGGAGGGGGGGCCGCAGATGTCATGTTGCTGTGCTTCCTGTTGTGACAGGTGCCATTATTTCTTTGCTCCGCACTTGCAATATTTAGGGCTTCAACCGTATCTTTTAAGGGGAATTTCCGGGAGCCCCGTTGAGGCGTTTCCTTTAAGGAGGCGATCCACTTCCCTCGCTGCCGCTCCGCCGCTCTGCCGCTCCGGTCGCAGGCGAGGCCTTTCGGTCGCCCTGTCTGCAGCACGAGGCGAGGCTGGCGCTGGAGAAGGCCGTGGCGTGGTGGGGCCCGGCGGCCTATAGAGACCGAGGGCAGGCACTCTGCGACCGATTTTTTCTTTTTTCGCGTCACGAAAGGTGGGTTAGCCCCTCTTTTTTGTGGGTGGTTGAAAGGGAAACCAAAAGGAAACCACCATTTCGAGGGGGGGGGTCCCCTAAAAAAGACACACCCAGGTAGACTTAAGCTCAGGGTGCTTGATTCTTCCGCTTTGGCGAGTGGCGAATGAGGGATCCAAGATGATCAAGTACAACCTATTTGAGTGCTTAAAAAGCGAACCAGAGGCAGAGTATACACGTATCTAAGAACCATGAGATCCGTTGTTGGCTCTGCTTTGGCTGGTCGTTCGTTGACTAAAGTGATCAACACCCCCGGCATCACCAGCAGGGGGACCCAAAATGGGTGGATGTTGATTTTTCTTCAAACCCTAGCTCATACACGTTTAGAGCCATTACAGGCGGGGAACGAATTGCATGTTCCGAGGCGAGCGACTGCAAGTGGGCTCGCTAGCGGCCACAGCCTTGCTGACAGATGGAAGGCGAAGGGAACCTGGAGCGCTTCTGAGCAACGGGAGTGTTGGTGGAACGCTTGTTCTAGCCCCACCCCCCCATCCATAGGGAGGGCCGGCTCCACATTCTTTTGGCCCCCTTTCTATAAATGCCCCATGGTTTCCTTTTGGTGGGTAAATGGGACATCAGGTACAAGGGGGCCCTTCATGAGGTAATCGTTGGATGGGGAAAAGGGGAAGCAACGGAAAACCGATATTTGTCCAAGAACCTTCCAACATAGCTTTTGAGCATACCCCAAGCCTTCCGCAACGATTCTGCCGGGAATGCTCGCAAGGCTTGAGAAGAGGGCTACGGATTTTGTTGAAATCTTCGTATCAGGGCCTTACCCCTTTTCATAGGATACCCACTCCCACCCTCCCCCAATTCCCCAATCCCCCCCTGCAGTTTCCTCCAAATACCACCTCAATGTGGCCCGAGGTGGGTCATGTTTTCAGGAAGCAGGTGGAAGTTACTCAGGAAAGTGCGCACTTCGGATCTGATGTTCTTTCCAGTTGGAATTTCACACACCGGTTCGGGAGGTCTTCCTTCATTTCCGGCGTGTGAATGATTCTAGGTGTCTTCCGTAATTCCGGTGTGAATTACTGTGAAGCATAGAATGTGAATTTGCTCAGGTGCATGATACGATGTAGTGCTGTCAACGACACATCACCATCCGGTTTTAGCCTGAAAGCCGAATCCAGGTCTGGGAATTCAAGTAATTTGCCTAGGTTGTTCAGTAGTGCCCTTTCACCCTTTCTTGGGGGAGGGTGCCCCTACTAGAATAGACTACAGAAAAAAGGGTACCCTTATTCCAACCTCTCCACTGGAGGACCTAGTTGCGCATGTTGCTGTTTCGTCGTGCAGGCTGCCCTTATCAAGCATGGGGGAGCTGGAGCTTGAGGTTTGCACGGAAGGAACAGGCGCGAGAGCCCGTCCGTTCTGTTCGGCTCATAATCCCATGATGAACCTGGGTTGCATCCACGTCTGGGGGTGAAAACCCATTTGTGGCGCCCTGTCTTGACACATACACATATGTGGTTTTCTAGGCCGTCTATTTGGAAAAGAAGGGCTCTTTGTACACTTGTTTGTTGATGCCAAGTAGTATCATTGCTTGTTTTTGCAGGTCAGATCAGATCAGGCATTGCGGCAGTTCGAAAGCATACGGTGGTTCGATGTTTTTTCTTCGAATAGTAAACTATAAGCTACCTAAACGTGGACATTTGCGCGAAACAACATACATGCCAACAGGCAGAAGTTGTGGGGCTGCGATGCATCCACGTAATGTGTCAAACGTGTGTGTGTGTGTGTGTGTGTGTGTGTGTGTGTGTGTGTGTGTGTGTGTGTGTGTGTGTGTGTGTGTGTGTGTGTGTGTGTGTGTGTGTGTGTTTGTGTGTGTGTGTGTGTGTGGGGTGTGTGTGTGTGTGTGTGTGTGTGTGTGTGTGTGTGTGTGTGTGTGTGTGTGTGTGTGTGTGTGTGTGTGTGTGTGTGTGTGTGTGTGCGTGTGTGAAACGAACATGTTTTGATTGGAAAGGCAGTGTGTGGCCCATTGTGTTGGGATTCTGAGCGCCTTGAAAGGTGAGGAATCATACGTATCCTGTTTAGTTTGGTTGAACATGGCACTGGTACATGATCAGAACAAGCAGGCCGCAGGCCCCCGCTTCTTTTTCTGTCCTTTGGTAGGAAGCACGCCCTTCGATCGCTGAGCCAGGTTTGTGTGACGTGGCCTATGGCCAGGACATCCCCCCGCAGCTGGTGGTGGACGCGGAGCCTGCGGCATTCATGTGATGCACTAGTGTTTATGCTTGCTCTTGCGATTGCGGTTGTGGTTGTTGTTCTTGTTGTTGTGGTGGTCGTCGTCGTCGTCGCCGTCGTTGTGGTTGTTGCTCTTGCTGTTGCTGTTTATGTTGCAGTTGCTGTTTATGTTGCTGTTGCTGTTGCTGGTGGTGGTGCTGGCTGTGTGGCTTAAAGATACAACAACTTGACTGTCACTTCAGCCAGGAGCCCCACGTCTGCGCCTTCCGCTCTGGGCGGGCGCCGGAGGTGGTGCTGTTGAGGGTGCGCAGCCGCTGCCAGGCGAGCGCGTGGGGTGGCGTTTTTTGTTTGGGGGGGGGGAGTGGTGCTTGTTGGGGGTCAGGTTCTGAAAAGTCGGCGCTTCTGATTTGTGCCTTAGGTGTTTAGATCTTTGTTGTTATTTGGGAACGGATCTTTGGACTTCAACTTGTTGGTTGAAACAGAGGGGTTTCCGAATTTGACCAGAGGGGTCAACAGCAACCAAGAGGTAGTTTGACTTGAATCAAGGGATCAAGGTGCCTGAGACGAGGTTTTCCCAGCAACCAACAGATGGCTTCGCTTAGGGGAAGAAATGCTCGGGTGCTGTTGGTGCCATGCCGATTGGGTCCCCATAATGTTGAGAAGGGAAACCAGGAGCAGTGTCCAAAGTCTTTTTTTGAGGGTACCCCTTTTGGTTGGGCTTTTTAAAGGGAAGCCAAAAGGAAACCAACCATTTTGGGGTCCCCTAAAAACAGGCATACCCAAATTGAGATCCGTTTGAAGACCTGAATCATCAAGCGCAGTTCGAAGAAAGTTTCTGCACGTTCCATAGTCAAAACACCCTTTCACTTGCGGTTGGCATGGATGGTATTGGATGGTCATGACCCCTTGGATAATTGGACCGTCATGATGATGTTTCCTCCGAACTCACCAATTCCCAGCTGTTCACCTGTTCAGGCACCCCTAAAGCAGAGCAACTTTAAAGGGGGGTCCACGGGGGTCCCCTTGGGTGTCCAAATAAGTTTGAGCTGTTTCCCAGGGGTTCTAGGCTATAGCAGGAACAATGGCCATGTCCATAGGAGGTTTGACCATTGGCTCACTCGCAGGACCCATCACTGGAGACGCGACTCTATGGCCAACGTCTGCCTCTGGTGCTTCCGCGGCCAGGCGAGTCGAGCCGAGTCGGTGCACGCGGCGCGTTTTCAGTTCATGGAGCAGAACCTATGGCTCCATTTTGGGGTGGATGAACATCCATTTGCCACCTATTTTGATGTTTACCAGGGGTACAGGGTTTTGACCCACAGCCAAGGGGTTGGGGAGGTTTCAAAGCGAAGACAGCCCAGTTGCCCAGTGGATTCCGCCCTTCTTTCCCTCTTTTTTTGGTGGGAAGGGTTCACCTTTCAACTCAACCAACCACAAAATGATGCCGATTCCCATGGCCACAGGGCATTTTTTCCGGGCATCTGAGACGAAGTTGAAGTCTCGAAAGTTTTGGCCGGTTGGACACTTTCGGACGCGACCGTTTGGATGTAAGCACCTGGCAGGCAGCTTGGTAGTAGCCTACTTACTAACTAGGTGGGCTGAACATCCAAGTACCCCTTCATATCACTTCTCACTATCAGGGGCCTATTCTTGTGTTGTTCGAATCAGTTGACTGTTGACATGATTGTTTTCATACAACTAGTTGTGTACATTTATTGTCGGCGCTCTCTCAACTGTTTGCTTTGCAGATGTGAGCGCTTGGGTTGGTGTATCATGCAAAACCTTGCACTGAGAACGTGCCAAGAACGTCACCCCATCCCCCAAACAGCGAGAGGTAGGTAAGAGTATGTCCGGGGACTTTCCCGCGTGCTTTGTGCTTGTCCTGTTTGAGCGGGGTTGTCAGAATCGCGAGCCCTGGACCCCACTCAGTTGGGAATCATCGGGGTTTGGGAAGGAACCTAAGATCCCCTCGAAGGAAGCCACAAGGGATGGTACTAGGAGTCATTTCCGGGGTCACTCTCTCATTCCGCGCTGAGCAACCAACAACATGGCACCGCGGAGTTGGTTTTTTCCGCATGTCCGATAAGAAGACCATTAGGACAACTCACCGACCGTGCTGTTGTCATGTCCATGTCAGCGCAAACCGGTCCCCAGGCCCATGTTAGGTTCTAACAATGACCCGGTTTTATCAGG